AGAGATAGCTGTGTACCCAATAAAGAGCACATTTTCTTTTCAAATATCAATGGAACATGTATATTAGATCTCAGAAAAGCTCTAACTAAAAATTGCAACAAGTAGAAATCATATAGGTTACTTTTTTGTCACAATGAAATACACCACATGCAGAAGAAAAATTAGAAAACAAATTAGAGAAAAATAAAAAAATAATCATAGAATAAATGCAAACAATGAAAACATTTTTAAAGCTTATGGAATGCCAACCTTGCAGCACTGAATGAGCATTTGTAACTTTACTATGCAAGGGTAAATCAAAAAGTATTGCTACAAAGTCATAGACACCTTTATTTAACAAAAATATCAAAATGCAGTTACTGCCTTGCAACATATCCTCCTTCCAGGTCTAGACATGTCTGAAGGCAGTATTTCCATCTCTCCTGGTGTGGTTCTGTAGAAACAGCACTGTGAACCTCAAAGTGGACCCTAGCTGTTTTCAGGACTCTTTGATTTGGAAGAGCTTGATTATTATATGTCTTGGTGATTTTCTTTTGGGGTCTATCCTTCTTGGGGTTTGTATAGCTTCTTGAATGCTTATCTTTTCATTTTTCAGGATGTTAGGGAAATTTTCTGCCAGCAGCTCTTCAACTGTCTCCTCTGTGGTCTTGTATGATTCTTCCTGTTCCAAAATTCCAATTATCCTTAGGTTATTATTCCTCTTCATGTTGTCCAACATGTATCTTAAGACTTCCTTCAGATTTTTTTTTTTTCCCCCTGCTTGTTCTTCTATCTTAGTAGTATTGAGAGATTTGTTTCCAATCTCCCTGGTTCTGGCTTCCATATATTCAATTCTGCTCCTTTGCCCTTTCAATGTATTGTCCATTTCTGATATTAATAATTTATTTTTGCAGGCTTTGAATTGTTTCCAATGCTATTTTTATCTTGTTTCTGTAGCACTTTCCTGATTTCATCATTTTTCTCAACCCCTTTGTGTAGTGTTTGGATGCACTTCAATATCATTCTCCTGAATTCCTTACCAGGCAGGTCCAAAGCCTGATCTCCTTCCTATGGATATTCTAGGTCTACCTCTAGCTCATTTGATTCAGCTCCTGTATTTTGTTTCTGGACGTGAACTGAGCTGTTTGATTGTTTCTTGGGCATTTTCAATAAATAGATGAAATGTATGTTGCTGTATCATTAAGCTTTCTGAGTGCCCCCTGGTAGATGCAATCAGGAGATAGACTTCCCTTTTCACTTCATTACTCTACTCAGGATAATTGTAGCAGGTGTTGGCTATCTGTGTAGTGTATGTTGTTGTTAGGTGCCATCGAGTCAATACCGACCCTTAGCGACCTTATGCATAGCAGAATAAAACACTGCCCGATCCTGGGCCAACCTATCGTTGCCACGCTTGAGTCCATCGATGCTGCCACTTGGCCAATCCATATAATTGGGGGTCTTCCTCTTTTTCTCTGACCCTTCACCTTAGCAAACATATCCTTCTCCAGCGATTGCTCCCTTCTGACAATATGTCCAAAGTAGCTGGTAATGATTTTTGCCTGGATGGTGGGATTTTAGAGTGAGTGATTGTAGCTTGGCTATATGGCCACAATTGCTGTCTCTTCTTGGATAATGTAGAGAGAAAGAGCTCCCTCCAGGTTAAAACAAGAAAAAAATAGCAAAACACTCCAGGTGTTTCTCCTAGTGTGAATCAGTTCCAGCAGAGCAGATCGGTAATCATGCGCAGTAGAACCCTCCAGGAGTGGGGATGTGGGTGTGTCTGCTTGCTCAGGCATTCCCTCTAGTCATTAGAGTGGAGGTGCACCTTTATCCCTGATGATCGGTCAGGTCTCTACTACCTTATTCCCTGTGCCCTTCTCAAGATGGCTGCGCCAGGTGTCTGCTTTCAACTGCCACTCAGCAAATGCTACTTTTCTTGCTTTTGTTACAAATTCTACTAACAGTAAGCCTTTGATACATTCCTTTATATGTAGTTCAGAATTCCAGGACCATCCTGTATATCTGCTTTATCTGGTGTTTTGTGCTATTGCTGGCAGAGGTCTGCTTGGCGCCTCTCCCTAAACTGCCATTTACAACCCCCCAGGTCTCATACAATTAATCAGGACATGCAAAGTAAAAAACATCATATTGAAACAGAAGTAAAACTATGCAACGCTGGTGAGTGTGGGGAAAATTGTCTTTCATGTTCAATTTATGAGTATACATTTTTGGTGAACAGTATGATCTATCAAATAATGGTGGTGGTGGTGGTGGAGATAGTGTGCCGTGGAGTTGGTACTGACTCATAGCGACCCTGCACAGGGTTCCCAAGGCTGTAAATCTTTACAGGAGCAGAAAGCCTCATCTTTCTCCCATGGAGCAGCTAGCTGGTAGTTTCAAACTGCTGACCCTGAGGCTAATAGGCCAACTCATGATCACTATGCTACCAGAACTCCTTCTACCAAATAATAAGCCCAGAAAATCTCCCTCCTAGATATAGTCACGCAATCATACACAGTGCATAGCTATCTTCACTAATAAAAACTAGACACAATTTAAATGCTCACGATTGGAGCGTGGCTAATGAAATTCTTATTGATTTTGTCCAATGTGTCTGTCAAGAATGTATGTATTGATGTGAAAAAATATGTAAGGCATTATTAATTAAAAAAAAAAAAAAATCAAGTTTCAGAAGACTGTGATCCCATCCATCCTGTAGTGTGTGTGTGTATGTTTTTACTGCAGAAGAAAAGGCAAGGATACATAGCAAAGTGTCAGCGACAGTCAAAGTGCATTAGAAAATTCTTTATACAGCCTTGTAGTTTAACAAGGAGAAAACTAAAGGTTGGACAAGAACAAGGGCTGCTGACTTACTCACCTCTATTTTATTATAAGCAGTTCCAGGGGCTTCATTTTTCATGCATTTTATACATTTGGCTCCTTAGTTAAGATTCTGTTTGAATAATGGGTTCACACAATAGTCTAGAATGCTTCTTACACCCTTGAGCACTAACATAATATAAAAGAGTCTACTAAATCTACTAAATCTGGGCAGGAACATGAAATTTTGGTTAAATTTACAGTTCTACCCATATAAATTCATATAGAAGTTCATGTATAAGACAAATTGGATTTAATATTCACAATATAAAAGCAAGAAAATGTGTGGGCTAAGTCTGCATATGAAAGATTACAGTGACAAGAAGCCTAGGTGGTGACTTTGGAATCAGTTTAGCCCTAGCTTCCTTTTCTAAGGGGTTAAGTTATACTTTAGATCTGGATACTGAGTACAGAACTATTTATGACCAATGTTGCCAGCGTCTTTAAAATGGCGACAAGTGTCTGATAAATACTCTGATGCAACACTGGCAAAAAGTATAAACACCAAGAATCTTTGACCTGATTTTTGATGTTGAAAATTAAAAATTTTAAGCTTTAGCCAACAGCTCAAATGCTAATGCACTGCAGGGGGCTTCGATGTTTGCAAAAATATATAAGATGTAGAATATTTGCAAAAATATTAACTTCATTTCCCACAAAGTTTTTGAAGCCCCCATATTAAAGATCCTAAATTTCTAACACTTATTGAGGACAAAAACATTTTCATTTCTACAGTCCCATTCCAGCTACAATCATGTTCTTTTTAATATTTATCACACTCACCTTATGAAACGATAAAGGCTCCAGATCCAATCCTCCAATGGCAAATGTGTCATTGTCTCATCTTGGATATGTCTGATTCTAGCATCATTTTTACCTACTTGGGAAAATGCCCCGATACACCATTGTAGGTGAATAAGTAAGCAACACATAATTCTCCTGTTTTATTTCATTTTAATAGAAAACACTTATTTATTACAAAATATATTTTGTATTGTTTTTTGCAATAACCAATGCAAAAACACTAAGTACAAAAAAAGCGATGTTGAAAAGCAAATTCCAGATGGAGAAAAGACATGTATTTCTTTTTTTTTTTTAAAAAAAGTATTTTTACTCTGGGAGCTGGAAAGATCATTCTAAAGGACATAAGACCTAGAAGCGAGAAAGAAAATGAACAATATATTTGACTTAAAAAAATCTGTCTTATAGATGTACTTTTTCAAGAACATATATTTATCGGTAATGAAAAATAATTGACAATCACAATAAACTAAAAACAGGTCCAGTGTTCATTAATAACAAACTGATTAAATGAATTATGGCATGGCCATAAAATAAAACTATGAACTTAAAAAAGAATGCAGTGTATCTAAGATACACTATTAAGTAAAGGAACTGTATACATATGTGTGGGTATATAACAGTGCATCAATGAGAAAAATGGTATTATCAGGCTACATCATAACTCTTTTGTCTTCTACAAAGGAATTAAAACAAATGCAGCTATTTCTAGATACAAAAATGAAGGGCAGGGGAAAGGATTAGAGGGCTTTTACCTTTTTCATTTTGTATCATTCTATACTGTTAGTTTTTAGTCTTAAATGAATAACATTTATTTTGATAGAGGTTATAATGGGTGGGAGAATTAATTCTATTCTTTGTATCAAAAGGGTTGGCATCTCCACAAGACAAAGACCTGGTATTTGTTCCTGTAAAGATTATACCGTAGAAAACTATATGGGGCAGCTCTCCTCTGTCACATGGGGTTCTATCAGTTGAAATTGATTTGTCAGCATTTAACATCTTAAGAAAATAAGATCATAAAAATGGTATCAAATCAAAACAGACAAAATTAAATAAATACACATACACCATGACATTAAGCAAAGGGGCAGGTCTGTCCTCCTCATACAATACACTTATACTTCATATATGATGTACATGGTGAACATTATCCCAGGATGTCAAAATACTTTACTGATATTCATCAAACTCCTGTGAGTGACAAGTTCTATTTCAGATGCTGATATAAGACTATGGGCGCCAAACTATCCGTGACTTCAGGAAGAAATTACAGGTATTAGTATCTGAGGGATGTGCTGATCACTGTGTTATCTCTTCTCCTCATGCCACGTAAGCTATGTTTCAGAGGCAGATCTTTGGATTAGATCACCAAAATAAGCAGTAATTGTCTTCAACTTATTGTTAAGAAAGTTTTGCTCTATTTCTACTTCCCCTCCAGGACCAGCTAAGGATGCCACCTAAAAAAGAAACAGAAGTCACACAAACAAAACTTCAAACAAACCTTTCAATCAGTGTTTTATCAACCAAGCCCTTCAAGTAACTGTTGTTGTTATTGCTTTTGTTAAGTGCCGTTGAGTAGGTTTTGACTCATAGCAACCCCGTATAAGGTTTCCAAGGGGTGGATGGTGAGCTTGAACTGCTGACCTTGTGGTTCAAACCAACCTTTCAGTCTAGCACATTAACCCACAGCACCACACCAGGACTCCTTTTAAGGAATAGGACCTCTCAAATGATCACTGTTACTACTCAGGTAGGTATTAATATAATAATTTATGGCAGAAATACTGTTTCAGACATTATAAATATAGTTTTTAATGTGAATTGAGTAAAAGTTTAGAGACAAGATGATCAGTTTTGCATTCAATAAATCATACACTTGGTTTCATCTCAATGATTACAAGCCCTTCCATGCAAGAACAGTTGTCCTATTTCCTCCTTGTGTTTACTCATGTAACAATATCCTCTTTCAAATTCTTATATATATGTACATGAATATATATGTCCCGGAATCCTGGTGTGGTGCTGTAGGCTAAGGTGTCAGACTGTAAAGTCGTTTGAACTGGAAGGTCATTGGTTCAAGCTCACCAGTTGCTCCTTGGAAACTCTATACAGAGTTGATATGGGTTGGAATGGACTTGATGGCACTTAACAACAACAAGAGCAATATATGTCCCACAACTATGTAAGAGTATATATATGTACTCCTGGTGTGACGCTGTAGGATCAGCATTGGACCGCAAACTAAGTCGGTGGTTCAAGCTTACCAGATGCTCATTAGAAACCCTATCCAGGATCGCTATGAGTCGGAACTGACTAGACAACACTCAACAACATTGACAACAACAATAACAATATATATATATTTCCCATTCTTCCTCTCATACCCATTCAACCTGTGTTGAATCTACTCACAGACCACTGCTGACCTTGCAGTTCAAACTGACCCTGCAGTCCAGCGCACTAATCGACAGCATCACACCAGGGTTCCTTAGTTTACTCTTCAAAAAAATCAGGTTGATAACTTGACTTGCTTATTCTCTACAATGATCCATTGAAATGTGTGTGAGAACTCTATATAAACTTTCCACATTTCATTTACTTTAATAGGATGGATGCTCTTTTGCATGCAAGAGTTTTTAAAGGCTGTGCTCTTCTCAGATAACTTTCTCCTTCCAAGTAAAGTCTATATTTAAAGAGTGATACACTTTCTATTGCTACAGGCTGGTGGGAAACTAGACATTCTGTGTGGAAAATGCAGCCTGAATTTCAAAGAGCATACTCATAAACTTGGGAAATTCAACTCATTGTAAGTTCAGGTTCTTGTGACATGTTAAAAGTTTCTTGACAACAAAGTCAGCTTCTCTGTAACTGTGATCTTTCTTAAGCTTGAAATACTGCCTCTTAACTCATTTTAAAAATTGTACATATGAAATCAATTTTCTTCATTTTCTAAAAAGAAAAAAAACATGATTTTCCACTGGAATTCTAAATAATAGACTTGAATCTAAATAATATAACAGTCTTAGAGATCCTACGGGCAGTTCTATCCAATCCTCTAAGGTCACTATGAGCTAGAATCAGCATGAAGGCAATGAGTTTGGGTTAGTATCTTTGCTCCATGTAGATGCAGATCATGTGAGTGAACTACCAACTTAAACTAATCCTGGCAGTTTTTCCCAAGAATCAAAATCATGTGCTAAGAGTATATTTACATATAAGAGAAATGAAACTTCTGAATCTACAGTTCAATTTCACCTGGGAGTCTAACGAGCAGCTCAGAAACAGCTCTAGGTCACATGAATAAAATGTATAATAGCAAATTTGATATAATTTATAAAATTGTGCCTTTTCTTGTAACAGGAATAGTATATACTATTTTTAAAGGTCTAACATTTAGATTCACTATTGACCTGTCAATTTGCCATACTGTGATGCTAGAAGATATGCTACCAGTATTAAAAATACTATCAAGGTCACCCTTGGCAGACAAGTTTCAGCAGATCTTCCAGACTAAGACAGACAAGGAAGAAAAGCCTGGGAATCTCCATTTGAAAATTAGTAAATGAAAACACTATGGATCACAAGACACTACTGTCTAACAGATGACTGAAAGACAAGGCTAGGTTGCTGTTGTTGTTAAGTGCCATCAAGTCAGTTCTGACCCATAGCGACCCTGGGATAGGGTTTCCGAGGAGCATGTGGTGAGCTTGAACTGCCAACCTTGCAGTTTGAATGGCTTTGCAGTCTGGCATATTAACCCACAGTGCTACACCAAGCCTAGGTTAGAAGGTACTAAAAATACACACTGACTGCACCAATGGGCTCAAACACACCAATGATTATGAAGATGGTGCAGAACGTGGCAACCTTTTATAAGAGGACTTCAAAAGGTTTGTGGAAAATTCCATTAGCTTTTAATTACATTTTTTCCACTGACTTCTTGAAGCCCCCTTATAGATAAATGGCAGTAAAATCGAATTTAATCTCTTTATAAATCCAGTAGGAGTCCAGACTTGCTAATTTCATTTATTCTTCTTTTAACCGAGAGAATCTAATCCCTGGAAGAATGCTATAAACATTTAAGGATTTTACAAACATGTATGCTTGGGTTCCAGTTCAGAAAATAAACAGAGAATCTTTCTAGGTGGGTCAGGGTATCAGTAGCTTTAAAAAGCCACTCAGGGATTCTAATATTCAACCTAACAATGAAATCCGGGGACATGCACCCAGGAGACTCTCAAGTGCAACAGAGTTAACTGACACTCACTGGACTCCAGCCTGGCCTTTCTCCTTCTGCATGGCCAATATGCCCTGGCAAAAATGAATCCTTTATAAAATAAGACATTTGAGAATCATAAGGATTTCATTGACAAAAACAACAAACTGGATTATAAATTACATCAATGTAGACAGGATAGAACAGATTATGAATTTACAATTCACCTAATAACACATTAAGAAAATCAAATTGAGTAAAAAGAAGAAAACAAAGAACAATGCTGAACTATTAAGTACAGAGACTATACCTGCAGAAATAAAAACCACAATAGAAGGAGGGACACAATGGATACATCTAAGGAATGAGTTAATTGGAAGAACAAATTTAGGCAATCACCCAGAAGGGAAAAAGATGAGTCAAAACACCAGAAAACATTAAGAAGGAAGACTACTATTCACAGAACAGATGTCCCAGAAAAAAGACAATGATGATGAGGAAAACACAGTTGAAGAAACAATGGAAATACCCAGTCCTGACAAAAACATTCAATAAAATAGGAATAGAAAGGAAATCCCTCAACATAATTAAGGCCATATATATAAAACCAATGGCCAACATTATTCTCAATGAAGACAAACTTAAAACATTTCCCTTGTGAACAGAAACCAGATGAGGATGCCCTTAGTTACCACTCCTATTTAATACAGTGCTGGAAGTCTCAGCCAGACCTATAAGGCAAGATGAGAAAATTAAGGGCATCCAAATTGGCAAAGAAGTAAAACTCTACTTGCAGATGACATATCCAACACATGGAAAATTCCAAAGACTCAACAAGAAAATAACTGGAAATCAATGAAAGATTCAGCAAAGCAGCCTGGTGGAAGATCAACATATAAAAATCAGTTGGATTCCTTTACACTACTAAAAACTCTGAATCCAATACCGTTTACAATAGTCACCAAAGGATGAAATACTTAGGAATAAATCTAACCAGAGAAATAAAAGACCTATGCAAATAAAACCACAAAACATTAATAAAAGACACCAAGAGACCTACCTAAATGGAAGAATATAATATGCACATGGATAGGAAGACTTCACATTGTGAAATGTTTGCAGTCACTAAGCCACTGTTGTACTTAAGTGTCACCAAGTCAGTTACAACTCATAGTCAATTTAGGTCATGTGAAGAAATGAGAGAATGACTTAAGAAAAATGAATGGCCTAGATGTAGAGCTAGAAAATGCTTCTGAAGAAGAATTGGTAATGGAACCAACTGAAAAAGAATTCAAAAGAATGAAACTTTTGTTCCTTCAAAGGATCCAGGAAAGCAAGACCACAGTAAAACAAACAAACAAACAAACAAAAAGACAAAAACAAAAACAAAACAAAAAAACTTTAAAAGAATTCAGGAAAACACTACAAGAGCAAACAGACAAAATAAATACAAATTTCGAAACAATACAAAATCTGCATTTAGAAATCCACAAGATTAATAAATACTAAGATGTCAACAATGGACAACACCAAGGAGTAGATACAAACCAACAGATGCAAAAATTAGTGAGCTTGAAGTTAAATCTCTCAATACTAGCATGCTAGAACATGTTACAGAATGAAAGGTTCCTAAGATAGTCTAAGAGTTATGTAGGACACCATGAAGAGGAAAACTTATGAGCAATCAGAATTCTAGAACAGGAAGAGAAAATAAAGAGCACAGAGAAAATTTTTGAAGAGTTGGTGAAAGAAAACTTCCCTAACATCATGAAAGATGAGAAGATACATACATGTAAGAAGCTGAACAAATCCCAAACAGGATAGAACCCCAAAGAAAATCACCAAGACATATCATAATCAAGCTTTCCAAAACCAAAGACAAGGAAATAATTCTAAGAGCAGCTATCTGAGCTCTGTGTGGTTTCACTGTAGTGAATTATAGAACCAAGACAAGAAGTACAGAGTGTTGTGGGAGGGGTGGTTGGTGTCATTTTCTTACAACTTTATAATGCGGATGAGTCTTGAGGACCCATGCTGAGTGAAATTAGTCAGTCACCAAAGGAAAAATACAGTATAAGAGCACTATTGTAAAAAGTCATGAAAAGATTTTCACAATAAAAAAAAAAACCCACCACCAACAAACATTCTTTGGTGATTGTCAGGGGTGGGAGGAAGGGCTATCCTCTGGCTAGAGGGTAGACACATGTTAACTTGGATGATAGGGAAGGTAATATACAACAAGATGGAGGTTGGCAGAAGAATGATGAAGGTTGGGGAAGACATGGGGAGAAGTACAAGAGTTAAAGGGAACAGATGTAAATATTGTTATATACACAATTCTACAATAACAGTGATTTCCAGATAGATACATTGATAAACACACAGCGTGAATGAATGGGTGTTGGAGGGAAAGTGGGAGTATACTCACAAATATATGAAGGTCGTTTTGTTTGTTTTGTTAAGTGACTACTATTCAGTTCTGACTCATAGCAACCCTGCAAAGGGTTTTCAGGGAGTGGCTAATGGTTAGCAGTCCACTGCTTTTCCTAAAGCACCACACCAGGACTCCACACAAAGGTTGTTTTTAAGTGCTTAGAGTTTCTAAGGAATGGCTGGTGGGTTTGAACCACTAACTTAGCATTTCAAACTGACCTTGGGGTCCAGTGCTTATCTTGTAGCACTACACCCTGGTTAGACAGAGGATATTATGTACATGTTGCAAACATATCCATGAATGTGGTAGATCACACAGGGAGCAAAATTATGAAAATTTCTTAGACATTACAAATACCTTGAGAGAATCAGGACCACAGTCTTAAGGGACACTATGGTCAATGGTCACAACCGTCCACAAAGACAATGTTCTCTATCCTACTTTAGTGAGTAGTGACTAGCATCTTAAAAAAGTTCATGAGCAGCTATCTAAGGTGTAATTTTTGGTTTCTTCTTATCTAGAGGAAAGTGATGAAAACTGAAATGGCTTAGAAACAATGTGCTCAAGGGATAGATGGATCACGTAAACATCAGTCTCCATGATTCTGAGAACAGAAGAACTACATGGTGTCCTGCTACCTCAATTAACTTTTCTGAAAGGGATTACATTAGAAGATCCTGGATAAAGTGGGAGAAAATGTGGAAGAAACGCAAAATCATAAAAAAAGAGCGCAGGCTTACTGGTAGAGACCGGTGTAACCATAAGACCACGAGCCTTGGTGGCCCTTCAGGTATGAAAGGGTATAAAACTTCCCTAACATCATGAAAGATGCGCAGATAAGCATATAAGAAGCTGAACAAACCCCAAACAGGATAGATCGCAAAAGAAAATCACTAAGACATATATGTTGTTGTTGTGCCATGGAGTTGGTTCCAACTCATAACAACCCTGTACAGGATTTCCAAGGCTTGTAAATCTTTGTGGGAGCAGAAAGGCTTATCTGTCTCCTGTGAAGACATATATATCATTATCAAAGTTTCCAACACCATAGACAAGGAAAGAATCCTTAGAGCAGCTTGGAAAAAAACAAAAAGTTATCTACAAAGGAGAACCAATAAGGTTAAGCTCTGATTCCTCAGCAGAAACCTTGCAGATTAAGAAGGCAATGAAAAGACACATACAAAACAATGAAAGAGAAAAAGGAGCTAAATGCTCCCCAGAAAAAAAAGATGAAAAGCTCACATGGATAGCTCTTAAAGGAGATCCAAGGAAAAAACGACACCTAATAACATTAGAACTGTGGTATACTGACTATGAAGTCCTGGTGTGGTGCTGTAGGATAATGCACTGGACCAGAAGGTCAGTCTGAACCAAAAGGTCGGCGGTTCAAACTCACCAGCCACTTCTTGGAACCCCTATTCAGGGTCACTATGAGTTGGAACCGACTTGACAGCACATACTGAATGTACTGCAAACTACCAGAAGAAGAAGCAAGTCAGTCTTAGAAATAATACAATCAGAATACTCTTTATAAGTGAGTATGGCAAGACTTTAGCTCACTTACTTCGGATACATCATCAGGAAAGAACAATGCTAGAAAAGGGTATCATTTACAGTAAAATAGAGACAAGAACTGACATAAATGCTGGATCAACAGGCTTAAACATACAATGGTCATGAAGATGGTACATGGACAATGTTTCTTCTATTATTCAGATTGCTAAGAGTTGGAGCTGACAGGAGAGCATCTAACTATAGTAGTAAGGTTACAGTGCAATTTAGAAAGATCAAATATTTTCATTAGAGTGTCTAGCACAAAGCAAATGTGTGCTAGTGTTTATAGAGTGGCAATAAAAGACTGAAATAAAGACACTATCAAATCTCTATGAGGCCATTATAACACCACATCTAATTCTACTAGGGAAAAGTACTGCGTTGATGGTAAGAACTGAATAAGGATGTTTGATGCTAGTCTTCTTAAGACTATAGTTTACATTGTTGGTGGCTAAATTCAGGTTTTACCTGTGTCTATACTGGTGTGGCGTTGGGGGTTAATGCACCAGACTGCAAAACTGTTTGAACTGCAAGGTCGGCAGTTCAAGCTCACCAGCTGCTCCTTGGAAACCCTATAAGGGTCGCTATGGGTTTGAATCAACTTGACAGCACTTGATACTATTTATTCTCAGAAACATTTACCACATCTACTCTAGAGGTAGGTTTCATTAGTGGCAGATCTAGGCTTGTTTGGCTGTATAGTATTTGCAACATATATTTCTAAAATCCAGGAGTGGTGTATATAAAAAATGTTGTTGTTGTTAAGTGTCATCAAGTTGGTTACCACGCATAGCGAGCCTGTATGAGGTTTCTGAGGAGCGGCTGGTGAACTTGAACTGCTGATCTTGCAGTTCAAACCAACTTTGCAGTCCAGGGCATTAACTCACGGCACCACAAAACATACAAGGACATACAAAGAGTTCATGGAAAACTGAAATTAAAAAGATAATGGTATTTTCACATGAACTTTCTGGATTCTTTTCCTATATATGTATGCCAGGAGTCGTGGGGACTAAGAAGATACAATAGATAAAGATTTAACTGACAAATACTTCCAATTTTCTAATAGTCAACTGGCTAGGGACTTCTCCTCAGTAACTTACCTGGTCAACATCAGCATTTCTTGGAAGAAAATAGACAATATTTTTAGTGATCTTCTGTGAAAGTCTGAAAATTTCAAAGGTGGCAAGTAGTTAAGGAAAAGTAACAAAAAAAACCCAGTTATTTTCTGATCAGAGATGTCCTTTACTCATTTTATCATAATCTAAATGTATTTTGATATGTCATAACAAAGCACAACTTAAATTCTGTAAAGGTATCTAATAAATACTAAGGAATAGCTTTCTAGTTCAGTAGCACAATGTCCCTGGCAAATGAAAAATTATGGTGGTAGTTAGCCAAAGAGTCAGAAATATTACCCTCTTTCCCTAGCTGCCAATTCCTAATTATATGAAAAAAGGTGGGATAGTAACACTCAGTGACTCTCGTTCCAGGAAAGAATAGAGATGGGCAACTCCAGTCACTGTAGGCGACATTCTAAATTCTACTCATCAAGTTAAAAATGTGTGTCTTCTTACAGACAGATGATTCCTCAGGGGAGAAGGTGATGAAGAAAGGGGAAAATGATGCAATTCTTTTTGAAATAAGAGTTTGTGTTAGTATCTTAGAAGAATAATAACAACAAAAACACTTCGAGATGCACAAAGAATTAGAACACAATTCAGTGTGCATTGGGAAGAGTCTTGAGGAAATCCTTCAAATAACTTCTTAAATGCTTTTTAGTTCTTACTTTGCAATGGCAAAATTGAAATTTTAACCAAAGGAAATATGATGTCACATTTGCCATTAGTTTTATAAACCAACCATTCATTACTTAACACTTATATATCTAGTTTTTAAACTACAAAAACAAATACTATTAGTATATCTCTCTCCCACTCAATTTCTCTTTTTCTCTCTCTCTCACACAAACACGCTTTCCTCTTGACATATGGTTATTATGTGTAAACTCTCAAAACCTCCAAAGGATATCCATCAGGAGACATCATTGTCCTGATGTCAAAGGTCTCTGCAGTAGCGTAGTCTGGTCCTCCCCAAGGAGGGCTAAGGAACACAGCATCCGCCTTTAGGTGAGATGCCAGCAGCAGGAAATCTCCACAGATAAAGTCTATCTTCTCAGCAACCCCATAAACTTCGGCATTATTGCGAGCAAGGTCAATCTTCACAGGATCAATGTCAATGGCGATCACTAAAGATAGTAAAAAGAAAAAGGAATCATTGGCTATCAGTTATATACAGTGGTTCATCTTTCTGTCTGTTTACATTCTATAAACTTTCCTGTAAAGGGAATTTTGCATACTATTAAGGTATTTGGTCTATATCAGTGATATAGACTTAAGTTAACATTCTTAACTGAATTAAAAGGATTTATTTGCATCAAATGTACCGAGAGATCTGGCTTTCAAAGTCATTTCATGCAAGCAGCTTTACCAAAACAAGCAACAACAGTTCTTTATGTAAAATGTTATCTATTTGAGAACACTTTTTACCTAGCACATTTACTTTGGCTCTGGTAGTGTAGTGGTTACGAATCAGGCTGTGAACTGCAAGGTCAGCAGTTCGAAACTACCAGCTGTTCCGTGGGAGAAAGATGAGGCTTTCTTTGGCTCTGGTAGTGTAGTGGTTACGAATCAGGCTGTGAACTGCAAGGTCAGCAGTTCGAAACTACCAGCTGTTCCGTGGGAGAAAAGATGAGGCTTTCTGCTCCCGTAAAGATTTATAGCCTCGGAAGCCGTTACAGGGTCTCTATGAGTGGGAACCGACTCCACGCCACTTAACACAACAACAACATGGTGCAAGTAGAAACACACAGACCAATGAACCACAAAGTTCCTAATGAGTGCTGAATATGCAGCCAGCACTGTGCTTGGTGAAGCCTGGGTGGCAGACAGTTTATTTAAAAGGTCATTAATTGCAATGGAAAGCCTACAACGTCAAGATCTCAGAAAAGACAAATTTTTCAAAATTAGCCCCCTAAAGAAGGCAAAGTAGAAAAATTTGAAAACTCCTAAAAGAAGACAAATTTGACTTCTATAGAAAACAAGTTACTACAAACCTCTAAAGCCAAGTTATGGAAGAAAACTACAAAAATATCTGCTGCTGATGTTTAGTGTGACATTTTATGTATGTTGTTGTTGTGAAGTGCCGTCGAGTCGGTTCCGACCCATAGCAACCCTGTATAAAGTTTCTGAGGAGCAGCTGGTGAGCTTGAACTACCAACCTTGTGGTTCAAACGGCTTTATATAAGAAACAGGAAATACCATCTTTTCACTGAAATAGGTTTTCATTTCATTTAGTGCAGCTTTATAATTGGTGGTGGTGATTGTGTGCTGTGGAGTCGGTTCTAACTCATGGAGACCTCGTATTGGTTCTAAGGCTGTAAATCTGTATTGGGGCAGAGAGCCTTATTGTTCCCAGGGAGCAGCTTTGTTCTTGGTGGTATGAAGTGCTGCTGAGTTGGTTCCAACTCACAGCGACCCTGTATAGGGTTTCTGAGGAGCCTGAACCACTAACCTTACAGATCAAAACAACTTTGCTCTCCAGCACATTAACCCACAGTGCCACACCATGAAGCAGCTGGCAGTCTCTAACTGCCGACCTTGCAGTTAGCAGCCCAACTTGTAACCCACTCACTAATTAGCAAACCAATTATTTTTAGTTTACCCATGGCCTTCAGTAAACTACTCAGGTGCACTCAAATGTACACTATTGTGTTAATGGCAACATATTATATTTGGAAGGGATAAGTAGAATCTTGACGGAAATAGAACTCTTTTCCAGAAAATGTCAGTGTGAAGATTTAACAGTTTTGAGAAATTAGGTCTTAAATAAATCACCTAAGCAATCAATGACTAGGGTGTTGGTTGTTGTATGCCACTGGGTGGGTTCTGACCCTTAGTGACCTTATATAAGGTTGCCAAGGCTGTAAATCTTTACAGGAGCAGAAAGCCTCATCTTTTGCCTTCAAATGACTTGTAGATTGGAATTGCTGACCTTGTGGTTAGTAGCCAAGTTGTAAGCCACTACACTACCAGGGCTCCGTAAACAATGACTGTATGTTGTTACTGTAAAGTGCCTTTGAGTCGGTTTTGACTCAGAGACGTTGAGCACTGTTTCCAAGGCGTAGCTGGTGAGATTGAACAGTTCACCTTGTGGATCACATTCCAGCGCTGACGCTACAGTGCCACAATAGCAAGTCTAGTAAGCAATGACTATAAGCACCTATTAGAGTTATGTTGCAACATAATGTAAAACATTGTAATGCGGCTATTCTGTTTATTTATAAATAAACACACATTTACATTTCTAAAAGGAAAAAAAAATCCATTTCAAGCACTCAATCTATTTTATAGTTCAACAGACAGATGGACAGAATTTTTGATCACACCAAAAATTCTTAGGAAAAACTGGCTCTCAACAACAAATGTATTCAGTTACTCCTCATGTTTTCACCTGCGCTTCTCCTGGAGGCAGAGTTTGCTTTTGGATTTAACAGAAACTAAGCACTTGATTTATCACATAAATAAAATGCTGACAAATGTATGATGAGACTGTATAGCACTGCATAGTCCAGTAAGTCATTAGCCACACATGGCTATAAAATTAAGATTGGTGGTAGTGGCTGTGTGCCGTGGAGTCAGTTCTGACTCATAGCGACCCTAGTTAAATTTAAATACTATACTTAAGATTTAGATTCTCAGTCAACACTCGCCACATGTCAATTGTTCAAGTCACATGGCTACAGGCTACCATAATGGACAGCTCAGATACAGAACATTTGTTTTGCAGAATGTTCTACTGGATGGTAATACTGAATTAAAGGTATGTGTTGCTTAATAGCTACATTATGCTCGGTGAAGACTATATTACGTATTATAATGCTTGCAAGAATCCCTGGTGGCCCAGAGGTTAAGTGTTAAGGGCTCAGCTGTTAAACAAAATGCCATTGGTTTGAATTCATATGAGAAAGAGGTAGGAGTAGCTGTACTGGTCTATGGGCATATGATACGGAACATCCACGATACTGTGAAGTAAGATGTCATGTAATTTGAATGTTGAAGATATTATATAAAGTGCATATGTTTGTATATATTTTGGTGCAAGGGGGGCTTCAAAACTTACATGGAAAATGGAACTAAAAGATAATGGAATTTTCCCATGAATGAAAGAAACCAAAAACAAACAAACAAACAAACAAACAAACAAACAAACAAACAAACAAACAAAAGTCCTCCTTTTTTAATTAAAGTAGCCGTTTTGCAAATTTACACCTGCAATTGGCTGTTTCTCAGTGCACCTTGTTCTCTGAGCAGCCCTCAGGGAGCCTTGTTGGAAGCGAAGTCCACAGGATATTTGAGATAGTTTCATAGAATTACAAATGTAAGTCAAAGAGTATTGCTACAAAATCGTAAGAACATTTTATTAAACAAAAATATCAAAATGTAAAGCTCTTGGGTTTCTCTATGTATCTTCCATCTAGATCTACACACTTCTCAAAGTGCTATTTCCAGAAGCTCTGGTAGCGTAGTGCTTACGAATCGGGCTGCTAGTCTCATGGTCAGCAGTTGGAAACAACCAGCTGTTCCAACGAAAAAGATGAGGCTTTCTGCTCCCATAAAGATTTACAGCCTTGGAAACCCTGTACAGGGTCGCTATGAGTCAGAACCGACTACACGGCACATAACAACAACAACAACCTTTCATAGTCCTGGTGCGGTGTTTTAGGATAAGCACTCGACTTAAAGGTCAGTTGGAAACACAAGGTGGGTGGTTCAAACTCACCAACCACTCTGCAGAAACCCTATATAGGGACACTGTAAGTTTGAACAGACTTGACGGTACTGAACAACAACAACCTTTCACTGGACTCATGGTGTGGTGCTATAGGATCAGCACTGGTCTTCAACCCAAAAGATCAGCAGTTCAAACCCATCAGCCACACCTCAGAAACCCTATACAGGGTCACTGTGAGTTGGAACCTACTTGACAGCACTTAACAATAACAACAACCTTTCACTAAAGAATTCTGTATTCTTCGGTTTACAAGATATCAAAACGGCACTGTTGGCATCCTAAAGAGACTCAAATTGTGTTCCTTTTACAATCAGAAGGGGCAAGATCAGGGTCATAAAGAGGATGGGGTAAGGTTTCTAAGTGAAGCTTTTGTAGGACAACACTTTTGCTAGGGAAGTATGCGCATAGTTGTGATGGAAAACATTCCTCAGTGCAACTTCCTGGTCTTTTTCTCATAATGCAGTTTTGAAATTTCTTCAACCTTCTTCCTAATAAGTCCCTGTGATTATCCTGTGTCTTTAGAGAAATTCTATAAACATTACTGCTTTGGACACCCCCCAAAAGTGTCATATGATTCTTGTCGTTGTTAAGTGTCTTTGAGTGGATTCCGACCCACATTGACCCTGTACAGAGTTTCCAAGGAGTAGCTGGTGAACTTGAACCACTGACCTTGCAGTTCAAACAACTTTGCAGTCTGGTGCATTAACCCACAGTGCTACACCAGGACTCCATATGATTCTTAGCTTTTTCAGTTGGACCTTGCTCAATGGATCGTACTTATAAATCTAAGACTGAGTTTTGGTTATGATTCATTCCATAAAATCATCTTTGTTAGTTTCGATCTTGCTTAAAAGACTGATAGAAAGATCAGCTCTTTAAGTTTAGCTCTTTGTGTAACATTTTTGGCATCCATCTAGATGAAAACTTGCTGAGGCCAAGATGTTCATTTAACATTGAAAATGATAAATCATGTGGAATCCCAACTTCAGTATATCAGTGGTAATTCTATAGTCTTTTTACCCTAGGATCTGAACTTTAGCCAGAGTTTCTTTACTTGTTAAAGTTGAAAGTCTTGCGTCTCTTGGCTCATATTTTTGAGGTCTTTCTGACCTTCCTTAAAACACCTAATGTCTCTAAAAACTGCTATTTTATGTGGGGCAGCATTTATGCAAACTTATTACAAATATTCAATTATCTGGGAATATGTCCACTTGAATTTTGTTAAAGATGTGATATGAGAATTGAACTCAAAATTGTTTTTTTCCCTTCCTATAACACAAAACCACCTCTCATCTGTTAGTTTGTTATACTGTGGTGGCTTGCATGTTGTTGTGATTGTAAATATCAGCAGAGTCACCCATGGTAGACAGGTTTCTGATGAGCTTGCAGACTAACACAGATTAGGAAGGAGAGACAAAATACTTCTGGATATTTAGTCAATGAAAACTTCACAAATAGCATGGGACACTGTCAGGTAGCACCAGAATACTGAATATTAAAACATGGTGGAGAGCACCAGAATATTGCCAGATATACTGCCAGAAGATGTGCCTCTCAGGTTGGAAGGCACTCAAAATACGACAGGGGAAGGGCTGCCTCCTCAAAGTAGAGTAGACTACGATGACACAAATGGAGTAAAGCCCTTGGGACTTTCATTTGCTTATGGGGCACAGCTCAAAAGGACAAGAAACAGCTGCGAACAAACACTAATAATCAGAACATGGTGTGTGCAAAGTATGAAACAAGGAAAATTGGAAGCTGTCTAACATGAAATGGAAGGCTTAAACATTGATATCCTAGGCACTAGTGAACTGAAATAAACTGGTATTGGCCAGGTTGAATCTGACAATCATATGGCTTATTATTTTGGGAATGACAAATTGAAGAGGAATGGCATCATAATCATTATCAAAAAGAACATTTGATGATGAAATTGAAGAATTCTACCAACATCTTCAGTCTGAAATTGATCAAAACATGTAATCAAGATGTAGTGATAATTAATGGCGACTGGAATCCAAAGGATGGAAACAAAGAAGGATTGTTATTGTTTTTAAGTGCTATCAAGTAGGTTCTAACTCACAGCGACCCTATATAAGGTTTCCAAGGAGCAGCTGGTGAGCTTAAAATGTCAACTTTGCCATTCAAACTGACTTTGAAGCCCAGGAAAATATGGCCTTCATGACAGAAATGATGCTGGAGATTGCATGATAGAATTTTGCAAGACAAATGACATCTTCATTACAAATACCTTTTTTAAACAACATAATAGATGACTACACACATACACTTTGCCAGATGGAATATACAGAAATCAAACTGACTACATGTTTGGGAAGAGACAGAGGAAAAGCTCCAGCCATATCATCAGAAAAAACAAGATGGGGGCAGACTATGGAACAGGTCATCAATTGCTCATATGTAAGTTCAGGCTGAAGCTGAAGGAAATTATTATAATAAAATATGCAAAGACCTAGAGTTAGAAAGCCAAAAGGAAAAAATACACTCAGCATTTCTCAATCTGAGGGAACTGAAGATAAAATTTAAGTCCCGACTTGAAATATTAAAGGCATCTATGGGCAACATACTGAACGATGCAGAAAGCATCAAAAGAAGATGGAAGGAATACTCAGAGTCACTGTACCAAAAAAATGGTCAACATTTCAAGAAGTGGCATATGATCAGGGGTCAATGTTAATGCAGGAAGAAGTCCAAAGTGCACAAAGACATTGGCAAAGAACAAAGCTCCAGGAATTGATGTAATACAAACTGAAGTCTTTCAAAAAACTGATGTAGAACTGGAGGCACTCACTCACCTATGCCAAGAAATTGGAAGACATCTACCTGGCCAACTAATTGGAAGAAACCCACATTTGTGCACATTCCAAAGAGAGGTGACCCAACAGAATGCAGAAATTATTGGACAATGTCATTAATATTTCATGAAAGTAAAATTTTGCTACAGATAATTTAAAAACACTTGCAACAGTACTTTGACAGAGAACTGCCAGAGGTTCAAGCTGGATTCACACGAGGACGTGGAATGAGGGCTATCGCCGCTGATGTCAGATGGATCCTTACCACTGGACCAATAAATACTATCAAGGTAAATGGGGACAAGACTGAAGTTGTCGAAGCCTTCATTTGCTTGGAACAACCATCAGCACTCATGGAAGCAGCAGTCAAGAAATCAAAGACATATTACATTAAGCAAATATGCTGCACAAGACCTCTTTAAAGTATTCAAGAGCAAAGAAGTCGGAGTCCTGGTGAGGAGCTGTGGGTTAATGCGCTGGACTGCAAAGTCGGTTTGAACCACAAGGTTGGCAGTTCAAGCTCACAAGCTGCTCCTCAGAAACCCTATACATAGTCGTTATGGGTATGGCACTTAAAAGCAGCAACATATACATGTGGAAATTGGACAGTGAATAAGGAAGACTGTAGAAGAACTGATGCATTAGAGTTATGATGTTATAGGTGGTGGTGGTGGTTATGTGCTGTAGAGTCAGTTCTGATTCATAGCCACCTTGTATAGAGTTTCCAAGTCTGTAAATCTTTGAGGGGGTAGAAACCCTCATCTTTCTCCCGAAGAATGGCTGGTTGTTTTGAACTGCTAACGTTGAGGTAAGCAGCCCGATTCCTAACCACTACGCGACCAGAGCTCCTTATGGTGTTAAGAGACAGTATTAAAACTACCATGGACTGACAAAAGAACAAACAACTCTGTATTGGCAGAAGTACAACCAGAATGTTCCTTGGAAGCCAAGATAGTCAGACTTCATCTCTCATACTTTGGCCATAATATCAGGAGGGATGATGTGTCTTTGGAGAAAGACATCATGATTGGTAAAAATGAGGGTCAGAGAAAATGAGGGCTCATCAATGAGATGGACTGGCACAGTGGCAGTAGCAGTGGGCTCAAGCACAGCAATGACCGTGAGGCTGGCACAGGACTGTCGTGCATAGGGCCACTATGAGTCAGTACCCACTTAATGGCACCTAAAAACAACAACAAATGGCACAAAAAGCACTTTTTTGTTTTTGAAGGCATCCTAACAAGACTAAGATAAGTGTATTACTGAGAGAACTTGTGTGCTATCATCCACTGATTGCAGCAACATGTTCAAACATGTTTTGTCTGGAATAAACCTGTGCATGTATGAACCGGAAGACTAGCAGGAATGCTTTTTGACTTATTCTCGTGGATTGCCCTTCTTTCTTCTGAGGCATCTCTGGATGGACTCAACTAGCTCAGCATGCTACCTACTTTGTTAGCAGCTAAGTATGCTGACTGCTTTCACCCCCCATCGGATCCAGCTGACATACAGTGTGTGTTTAACATATGCTCACTATTATTTCAAATATCTGGATTAAAAATTTAATTATATATTAAATCTGAGGAAAGATAGGCTAATGCAAAACATATAGTACATGAATAGAAACTAAAATAGTTCACACACATTAATTATTAATTACCTCTCTTTCCTGCTAAAGCAAACTGTATGGTATTTCCTCCAACTCCACAGAATGCATCCACTACAATGTCACATCTGAAGGACTCACTGACTCGCCCAGCAATATGTTCAGCTATCTTCTCAGGAGTGACAGAAAACCAGCCCTCTGTAAGGGAAGAGTATTTCTGATAATACACTCACTTTTAAGAAGGCAAGCCAAGAAAATACACAGCAAATAATACCAATACCATATATAACATACTTTTGAAAAACTTAGTTTCTCTTTTCAAAAAAATTATGTATATTATCCAGTTTTAAATAAAAGCTTTACAATGCTTGTTATAAAAAGCAGCAGTATTATTATCCCATTCCTAATTTCCAAAGAAACAACCACCTTCAATTCATACCTGGTTATTCTCTAACATACCTCTCTGTTTCCAATAATGAAAAATAATCCTGATTTTTCTGTTATAAGTACTATATACTATGTAAAAAAAGGATTTTTTATTTTTATTTTTTTTAGCTATTCTCATTAGCAAATTTCCCAAACTCCACTGAGTTTCCCAATTATTTCAACTCTACTGAAGGGACAATAAGATTTATATTGGACACTTTGGAAAATGTCTCACCTTTTCCAAGGGTCAGAGGAAACAAGGCCTCAGTAGTACATAGAAAGGCAGAAGAGCCTCATCATTTCAGAAATGAGGTCCTGTGCTCATTTGAGGAAAGGGGACACTGCCCTCTTTTTTCCCAGCAGAAGACATTTTCATTTTCTAGAAAGCTATGCCCTCCCTGAGCAAAATGATGAGCCTACTTTTTAGTTACTTCACCTTAACAACACTGCTAGAAGAGTAAAAGTATAAATTTATTTTATGAAATTCAAAGCTCTTTTCCAGTTTTATTTTTCAAACAAGTTCCAACATACTATCCTCAAAACACAGTAGTTTTTAATTATATTAAATTCTTGGAATTTCTGAGATTCTACCATGGATCAATATGTCCTGATTTTGACAACTAATCAAGACTAATTTCTAGGTAGCCCAAAAATGAAAATGTACTCTAGTTGTAAGACTTACTAATAAGTTGTTAAGGCAGGAAAGCTCAAGTAAGAATTCAGTTTCCAATGTCAAACAATTAAATCCTATCTTTCCATACTAAGTATTCCTTCTTCAGATGTTCCATTTGCGAGGCCTATCAATTGCTTTTGCTACTTATGCTAATATGCTACGAATTCAGAGTAACCCGAATCTGAGATTAAAACAAAAATACATAGATATCCACATTGAAGGCGTCTGCAGGATTATAGGCTACCGTTCTTAAAAAATGCAAATATCATCAAAGTAAAAAAAGGCTGAGGAACTGCTCCAGATGAAAGGAAACTAAAGAAACATGAAAATTAAATGTAATACATGATTTCATACTAGAAAAGAGAAACACAAGAAAGGACATGACTAGGACAACGATTGAAAGTAGAATTAGCACTGTAGAGTATAATAATATTTTCACAAGGTCCAATTTCCTGAATTTAGTAATTTTATTATTGTCAATCAGAAATTATCATTGCTTTTAGGAAATACAAGTCAAAGTATTTAGGGGCAGGGCTAGGATGTGTGTACCATTACATTCAACTGGATTAGAATATACACACATGCATACAGAGAGAAAAAGTGATAAACAACTGTGATAAAATGTTAAAAATAAATGAATCTGGGTAATAGGGATATGAAAATTCTCTGTAGTATTCTTACAACTCTTCTGAAAGTTTGAGATGGTTTCAAAATAAAGTTAAATATACATATATACTTTACCTCTGTCTAATTTAATCCCATCGTCAAAACGGGAGAAGAGTCTGTACCTCTGGGCCCAGTATTTTGCTAGTTCAGGATCAGCAGCGATCTCAGGAGGCAGACCACTCACTTTTCTGTTTTTCTTTTTCTTCTTTTTCTTCTTCTTGTTCTTCTCTGTTTCAGCTAAAAACCAAAAACATACCAAGAATACAGATGCTCACCATACTATTAAAATAGAAAATCACAGGTGAATTTATCTAAAGGTGTGGTCATAGAGAATTATTGCAATTTTATACTGCATCCAACATATGCATTTAAAGACACACTCAGAGAAGCAAAAGGGTATTTACAATGGAAAACCACTGCTTGATCCTTACCAGTTCTGAGAGATTGGACATATAACCAGGCTAAGCTCCAATATTCAATTCATCAAAATGAATGAGTGAGTGTATTAGTGAGTAGTATCCTACTTACTAGGTTCCTGGGCAGCACAAATGGTTTGCTCTCAGCTACTTAACCTAAAGGTTGAAAGTCTGAAGCCATCTAGCTGTGCTGCAGAAGGCTGGTTTCCATAAAGATTATAGCCAAGATAACCCTATGGACCAGTTCTGTTCTATAGCACATGGGACTGCCATGGGTCAGAATTGATTCAATTGCAATAGGTGGGTTTTTTTGTTTTATCTTACCTATTTATCTCAGGAAGACTCATTAACAACCTGCAATATGCAGATGACACACACAGCCTTGCTTGCTGAAAATAAAGGACTTAAAATATTTACTAATGAAGATCAAAGAGCACAGCCTTCAGTATGGATTACATCTCAATGTCAAGAAAACAAAAATCCTCACCACTGGGCCAATAAACAACATTCTTTATCAATGGAGAAAAGATTGAAGTTGTTAAGGACTTCATTCTTCTTGGATCAACTATCAACATTTACCAAAGCAGCAATCAAGAGATCAAAGGATGTATTACATTAGGCAAATCTGCTGCATAATACCTTTTTTTTAAAGTGTTGAAGAGCAGAGATGTCAGCTTGAAGACTAAGGTGCACCTGACCCAAACCACGGTATTTTCAATAATCTCATATGCATGTGAAAGCGACTGTAGAATTGATGCTTTTGAGTTATGGTGTTGGAAGAGTATTGAAGGTGTCATGGGCTTCCAAAAGAACCAACAGATCTGTGTTGGAAGAAGTGCAGCCAGAGTGCTTCAAACTTCGTCTCTCATACTTTGGACATATTGTCAGGAGGGACCAGTCGTTTGAGAAGGATATCATGTTTGGTAGGGTGGAGGGTGAGAGAAAAAGAGGAAGACCCCCAGCGAGATGGATTGGCAAAGTGACAGCATCAATGGGCTCAAGCATGGCAACGATAGTAAGGTTGGCCCAGGATCGTACAGTGTTTCATTCTGCTGTGCATAAGGTTGCTATGAGTCGGTACCAACTCGATGGCACCTAATAACAACTTACTTCATAGTATTGTTGCTAGAAGCTATGTAAACTACTATTAACATGTATAAAATTATTTATGGTAGTCAAGATACTTATTTTAGTTGTTAAAATTATAAGACTCTGCACATTTCCCTTTCCTCTAAGATAAAATCTAGCAAGAATTTTCTTCGCCATTCGTCTCTGAACGTATGATTAGAAGTCATTATGGCCTCTGAAAAACTGCAACAGCTCTAGTCTTACAGAAATGATCTCATTTACTCAGACACTTTTTAATTTGGTTTCAATTTTCAGCAGATTAAAATCTATAATTTAGAAAGATGAGAATGACGTCCTAATTAAGTATACTCAGCTAAGCAAGAAGTGATGGCTTACAAAAACAAAATTTTTAGTCATCAAGGGCAAGACTGTTGTAATGCAATCATCTGATCATTGAAAAGAGCAAAAAGTGTCACCAAAATTGCTCAACAGAGTATGATGAAATCTTGATGGAACAATTCTTTGTTGTATAAGACCAGGTACAGCACTCAACATTTAGTATTAAATGCTAGAATTCCCCAGAAGTCACTCTAAGCAATCAAAACTTTTCAAAAGCTCCTGAGCAGGTGATACCATTCCTGATGAGAAGGACCACATCATACAACTGGTGTATATGAAAGTAAGCAAATGTAGGAAAACAGTATTTAGAAATCAGAGAACGTGGGACTAAGGCCTCGCTGAAACAGTTATTAGTTATGTGCTCTTGAACAAATAACTTAATTTCTCTGAGATTTACTTCCTCGATTTATAGAGTGGGGAGAATTCCAACTACCTACGGAGCCCTGGTGTGGCTCTGTGCCAGACTGCAAAGCTGTTTGACCTGCAAGGTTGGTGGTTCAAGCTCACCAGCTGCTCCTTGGAAACCCTATACAGGGTTGCAATCGACTCGACGGCACTTGATAACAACAACATTGTTGTTGCTGTCAAGTTCTGACAAGTCGGTTCCGACTCACAGCGACCGTGTATAGGGTTTTTGAGGAGTGACTGGTGAGCTTGAACCACTAACCCTGTGGTTCAAACCGACCTTGCAGTCCAACGCATTGACCCATAGTGCCACACCAGAATAAGATGTCAAAGTATTTAGAAATTTGTAAGAGTCCATGAACATCAGTTCATGATTTACATGATATTAAGTATGTTGCTTAGAACAGTAAAGCTGTTATTCTTAGGTGGCTTTGAGCACCATCAGATTCATAATGACCTTACTCACAACAGAAACAAACATTGCCCGGTTCTGTTCCATCCTCATATTATTTGTTATGCTTGAGCTGCTATCGTTGTGCCATCCATCTTATTGGGGGGTCTCCCCTTTCTTAGCCAACCCTCCACTTTACCAACCTTCTCCAGGGATATGTCTGTCCTGATAATATGTCCGAAGTATGAGAGATGAAGTCTTGCCATTCAGACTTCTAAGGAGCAGTCTGGCTGTACTTCTTCCAACACAGATTTGTTTCCATGGCACTTTAAAAATTCTCCTCCAACACCAGAACTCAAATGTATCAATTCCTCTTTGGTGTTTCTTATTCATTTTCTAGCTTTCCCATGTATGTGAGGCTATTAAAAATATCATGGCTTGGGTCAGGAGCACCTTAGTCCTGAAACTGACATCTTTGCATTTGAACACTTTAAAGAGGTCTTGTATAACAGATTTGCCTAGTGCAATAGCTTGTTTGATTGCCTGTTTATGAGTGTTGATAATAAATACAAATAAGCAAAATGAAGTCTTTGACAACTTCAATCTTTTCTCCACTTAACAAGGTGTTATTCACTGGTCCAGTGATAAGGATTTATGTTTTTACACTGAGGTGCAATCTATACTGAAGGCTGAGGTTTTTGATCTTCATAAGTAAGTATTTTAAGTCCTCTGTGCTTTCAGCAAGCAAGGTTGTATCATCCGCATATCGCAGGTTGTTAGTGAGTCTTCCAATCCAGATGCCACATTCTTCTCTTCATAAAATTCAGCTTAGGATGATTTGTTCAGCATAGATTGGATAAGTATGGTGAAAGAATACAACCTCAGAACATACTTTTCCTAATTTTAAACCATTCAGTGTCCCCTTGTTCTGTTCGACCAACTGGTCTATGTACAGGTTCCTCAGGAGCACAATTAAGTGCTCTGGAATGTTCATATTTCACAATGCTGCCCATAACTTGTTATGATCCATAAAAATCAAAAGCCTTTGCACAATCAATAAAGCACAGGTAAACATCTTTTTGGTATTCTCTACTTTCAGCCAACATCCATCTGACACCAGCAACAATATATCCTTTATTCCCATCCTTGTCTGAATCCAGTTTGAACTTCTGGCAGTTCCCTGTCAAGGTACTGTTGCAGACATTTAAAAACTGTCCTTAACAAAATTTTGTCTAATAATATTGTCCAGTGATTTCCGCATTCCATTGGGTCACCTCTCTTTTGAATGTGCACAAATATGGGTCTCTTCCCAATCAGTTGGCCAGGTAGCTATATTCCATTTCTTTTTGGTACAGTGACTCAATGTATTCCTTATATCGTCTTTTTGATGCTTTCTGTATCATTCAACATTTTGCCCATAGAATCTTTCAATATTGCAACTCAAGGCTTTAATTTTTTTCTTTAGTTCTTTCAACTGGAGAAAGCCTAAGCATGTTCTTCTCTTTTAGTTTTCTAACTCCAACTCTTGCATATTTCACTATAATACTGGACTTTCTTCTTGAGCTGTCCTGTGAAACGTTCTGTTCAGCTCTTTTACCTCCTCATTTCTTCTATTTGCTTTAGCATTGCTACACTGGAGAGTAAGTTTCAGAGTCTCTTCTGACACCATTTTGGTATTTTCTGTCTTTCTTGCCTTCTTAATGACTTTTTACTTTCTTCTTGTATAATATTCTTGGTGTCATCCCACTCTTCTGGTCTTCGGTCATTAGTGTGTCAAATCTGTTCTTGAGATGGTCTCTAAATTTATGTGGGATATGTTCAATGCCAAATTTTGGCTCCTGTTGACGAGTTTTCATTTTCTTCAGCTTCAGCCTGAACTTGCACATGAGCAACTGGTGGTCTGTTTCACAATCTTCCCCTGGCCTTGTTGTGCCTAATAATATGGGGCTTTTCCACTGTCTCTTCCCACAGATGCAGTCAATTTGATTTCTGTATATGCCATCTTGTGAGATCCATGTGTATAGTTGTCTTTTATACTGTTTAAAAAAGGTACTTGCAATGAAGAAGTCATTGGCTTTGCACAATTCTACCATGCGATCTCTAGCATCACTTCTATCACCAAGGCCATATTTTCCAACTACTGATCCTTTGTCTTCGTGTCCAGCCTTTGTAATTCAATTATTAGCAATTATCAATAAATCTTGATTGCATGTTTGATCAATTTCAGACTCCAGTGTGAGGAACTTATCTTCCAGCACTATGTCTGACACTATTCTGGTGCTATCCGATAGTGTTTCACTGCTATTCCTAAGGTTTTCAATAGCTGAACATTCAGCAGCTAAATTAGTCCCCCTCTCCTTCTTTCTAGCCTGTATTTCTCTGGAAGCTTAGCTGAAACCTGTCTACCATGGGTGAACCTGCTGGAATATAAAATACCAGTGGCATAGCTTCCAGCAGCACAATAACATGAAAGACAAACTAGTATTTAGGCATACCTCATTTTTTTGTACTGCGCAGATATCATTTTTTTTTTTTTTTTTTTTACAAATTAAAGGTGT